TATTTAAAAAAGATTAATCTAGCAATAATGTTAAATCCAGCAAACATGTAAAAAGTATGTTCTCTAGCTAAGTGCTGAGCCACTAGAATATGAAGATGAGAAAGAAACTGGCCTTAACCTGAAGGAACTTACAGTGTAGGGTGGGGCAGAAAGCATGTTCATATAGAGGTATAATGTAAAGAGATGAATATAAAGAGTAAATCCCAAATTGAAAATGAAACTGGGAGTTGAAGGTGAGGGTGTAAACATAATCTTCAGAGAGATAGTATTTTCTTACTTGACTCTTGAAGGAGGACTTTTTGTAGTTGAAGAGACTGGGAAAAAGGCTGTTACACATTTGAAGGAACAGACTTAGCAAAACCACAAATGAAAGAGTGCTTTTTTAAATTCTGGTGAATGAAAAGTAATGTCATGTAAATGGTGCAGAGACTTTCTTTGATGGAAAATTCATTGGACTGTCTCATCTTATACTAAGATGTTTGGGCTTATCCTGTTATTGCTAGAGAGCTATACAAGTTTTTTGTTGTTTGTTTTTTTGGTTTTTGAGACGACGTCTCCCCCTGTTCCTCAGGTTAGATTGCAGTAGTGTCATCATAGTAATCACAGCTCACTATAGACTCTTGTACTCAAACTGATTCTCCTACCTCAGCCTTCTGAGTAGCTGGGACTACAGGTGTGTGCCATCATATGCCCAGCTACATTTTTTATAATTGTAGTTCTGACAGTAGGATATATCAAATACAGATTGAGGCAAGGATGTCAGAAGACTGTCTCAATAGTCATAGCACTGGTAAGAGGTGTTGGAAGGTCTGGACTGGAGTAGAGGCAGTGGAAATGCAAAAGCGGGGTCAGATGTATTAAAATAGATGATTCAAATGAGAATTTTACAGATTGGAAATTGGCTAGATATGTTCAAAGAAAAAAAAAGGAACGAGTAAAGACTGACTCTGAGAGTTTAAGTCCAGATACAAAGAAAAATTAAGAGGAAATATCTCATCTAGAAATGGGTGAGTGTGGTAAAAGAATGCTATACATTGAGATGTGTTGATTTTGAGATAGTTTAGTTTGTCATCTGAATACTTTTTTGGTGTGATTTTTTTTCTTTCTTTCTTTTTTTTTTTGAGACAAAGTCTTACTTTGTCACCCTTGGCAGAATACTGTAGTGTCATAGCTCACAGCAACCTCAAACTCTTGGGCTCAAGCGATTCTCCTGCCTCAGCCTCCCAAGTAGCTGGGACTACAGGCACCCGGCTATTTTTTGGTTGCAATTTGGCTGGGGCTGGGTTTGAACCTGCCACTCTCCGTATATGGGGCCGCAGGCCACTGAGCCACAGGCACCGCCCAACACCTGGCTATTTTTGGTTATAGTTGTCATTGTTTGGCAGGCCCAGGCCAGATTTGAACCTGCCAGCTCTGGTGTATGTGGCCGGCACTTTAGCCACTTGAACTACAGGCCCTGAGCCAGGTACTTTATTCTTAACATTACCACCTATATATTCTTCACATTAATGGGGTGGAAAAGAGAAAAGAAGTCCTCAGGAGCTCTGTGTAGTGCTAGTACTTACCCTTTAGCTTTTTCGTTTTCACTCTTTACACATTTTCATAAAACCCACCCAATAGACACTCACCAAAATCAGATAAAATGAAGAATCAGGAGGAAGAAAATCTTGGATATAGGCTAAGCAGTTCTATTCATCCTATTAGGTTAAGATAACTATTCTTCACTTTATAATTCAGTATGGAGGAGTTTACCAGCAATCATGTTTTAGCCTAAGCACCTGTAGAATAAAAATGTGATGTATAATGTCTTCTGTACAGCAAACTTTCAGCAAAAAGTAATTAGGCTTCCATGTTATACAATGAGATTTCAATAAACATAATTAATTTTTAAATAGGACCTTACAGGTTTAGATAATCTGATATAGTATTTTATTTAAAGGAGAGTGGAACATCATGACCTGGGGAATAGTTACTTGCAAATTATAAATTTGTAATATGAGTTTTTATTATATAATATTAAAATTTAATTTTGGCTTAAAACATCTATACGTTAAGAAAAAACAATGTTAAATAAACATCTTGATTTTAGGGTTTTTAATGTTGACTTTTCCCCTTTTTTATTTGAGTCTCTCCCTTTTACCCCCCGCCCCCCATTTTTTTTTAAAGACAGAGTCTCACTTTGTTGCCCTTGGTAGAGTTCTATGGCATCATAGCTCACAGCAACCTTAAGCTCTTAGACTCAAGTGATCCTCTTGCCTCAGCCTTCCCAGCAGCTGGGACTATAGGTGACAGCCACAACGCCCAGCTATTTTTAGAGACCGGGTCTTGCTCTTGCTCAGGCTGGTCTCAAACTCTTGATCTCAAGCAGTCCTCCCACCTTGGCCTCCCAGAGTGCTAGGATTACAAGTGTCAGCCACTGTGCCCAGCCTTCCTTTCTTTTAAAGGGACAAGGTCTTACTCTGCTGCCCACACTTGGGTAGAGTGGTATGATCATAGCTTACTGTGGCTTTTAATTCCTGAGTTCCTCCTGAGGCGATCCTTCTGCCTCAGCCTCCCAAAGTGCTAGGATTACAGGTGTGAGCCACCATGCCCAGCTTCAATTCTCTTGCAATAGCATGTATTCCCTGTTTCCTTGTTTGTCCTGCTATGTAGTCATTAATTCAATTTATTCCTCCCCCATTTTTTGGTAGATGTTATAACTCTGAAGTTCTTAAATCTCTGTCCCTTTGTGACATAGAATGCTTTTTCTGTTTTAATTTTAGGGACCTTTCCCATAAAGTGATCATTACAAATGTAAAATATGAAAAAGATTTCTGCCCTAAGGGAACACTTTGGGGTACTTCCCTGTCAAGCTAACTAAAGGTGACACACAAAGCACACAGATGTCAACCACAGAGGTGAAAGGGCCTGAGAATGACACAGAACATTTTTTATCCCTTGATATCTTCTAAAATATAATATCTAATACAAACCAAAAGCGTGAAATTTACATGTAGGCTTAAAACACAGTAATAATTATTAGGGGAATATGAAAATTATCAGATAAACTCATATGTTGGAAATAATTTCTGGACCTAAAAATAAAGTAACTCCCCAGTTAGGATGTGATAACTAATGAATGTATCAATTGCAAGTTTTAAAATATTTTATAGTCTTGGTGGCGCCCATGCACAGTGGTTAGGGTGCTGGCCACATACACCAAGGCTGGTGGGTTCAAACCTGGCCTAGGCCAGCTAAAACAACAATGACAACTGCAACAACAACAAAATAGCCAGGCGTTGTGGTGGGTGCCTATAGTCCCAGCTACTTGAGAGGCTGTGGCAAGAGAATCACTTAAGCCCAAGAGTTTGAGGTTGCCATGAGCTGTGATGGCACTGCACTCTACACAGGGTGACAGGTTGAGACTTTCTCTCTCTCTCAAAAAAAAAAAATATATATAGATATATATGTATATTTATTTATTTATTTTATAGTCTGGGTGCAGTGGCTCACACCTTGGGAGGCTGAGACAGGAGTATCGCTTGAGGTCAGAAGTTTGAGGCCAGCCTAGGCAACATACCAAGACTCCATCTCTGCCAAAAAAATTAAAAATTTATAGCCAGGTATGCTGGTGCATACCTGTATTTCTAGCTACTGGAGAGAGACTCATGGGAATGAGCCTAGGAGTTCAAGGTTACCGTGAACTATGATTATACCACTATACTCTAGCCTGGCTGACAGAGTGAGACCCTGCTTCTAGAATAAATAAATTAATAGTTTAATATATTACTGTTATAAATGTAGTTATAGAAAATAGAACCTAACTAATATGTAATTTGGATTGTCTGTATTTTGCCTTTTAGACAGTGACTAACATCTATTGACTAGTAGATATTTTAGCAATTCATTTTCTTCCTTTTTTTTTTTTTAATAGAGTCTCACTATGTTACCCTCAGTAGAGTGCTATGGTGTCACAGCTCACAGCAACCTCAAACTCTTGGGCTCAAGTAATTCTCTTGCCTCAGCCTCCCAAGTAGCCGTGACTCTAGGCACTTGCCACAACGCCCAGCCATTTTTCTGTTGTTGCTATCATTGTTTAGCATGCTGGGGCCAGGTTTGAACCCATCAGTCCCGGTGCGTGTGGCCAGTGCCCCAACCAGTGAACTACGGGCACCAAGCCTCTAAACCAGTGGTTCTCAAACTTCCTAATGCCACGCCCCTTTAATACAGTTCTTCATATTGTGGTAACCCCCAACATAAAATTATTTTTGTTACTACTTCATAACTATAATTTTGCTACTGTTATGAATCGTAATGTAAATATCTGACATGCAGGATATATTTTCATTGTTACAAAGGGGTTGCGACCCACAGGTTGAGAACCGCTGCTCTAAACTCATTTTCAATTGGATTATCGTAGCTTCCCCAGCAAGTATTAAAGAAACCTCATTGATATTTTAAGGTCTTCTGACTGCTATTCAAGGTGATAATGACTAGGAATGGATTCCAATCTTAAACCACTGATTAAATCTTGTCATTTGTGCTAATCATTTGTGCTAATCTGAGAAGAGGAAGAAGATAAAGAACTAATTTTAGGACCCACACTTGGAGATCTTTGTCAAACAAACATTTACTATAGTTGGAAACTAATTATTTGAAAGAGAAAGTAATAATCCTGGTTTGTGTTGTTATCGAGTAAGTGTAGATGAAGCTTTCTTGTGTCCAGTGTTAACTGTGTCAAAAAGTAATAAACTAGACTTGTACTGAATGTGATCTCCTAGGCAGTGCTTAAATGTACATGAAGTACTTTTGACCCAGATCTTTACATGATTTATTTATATACATGGGCATATGTTTTCCTTTACATATGTTTGTCTGTATGTATATAAATCTTCAAATGAATAAATGCATAAATATATGTGGCACTCTAGCTTACAGAATTAGAAATATAATTCAGTTTACTCCCACAGAATAAGATTGAAGATAATGAGAACTGAATTAAAGCTTACTTTCTTTCACAGAATTCCTCAGAGAGAGACGACTGTAATAATGGAGAACCCCCTAGGAAGATAATACCAGAGAAGAATTCACTTAGACAGGTATGAAACTCAGTCTTACTTAAAAAGCTACCAACAAAAAAGCAAAAGATAGAAAACCCTTGATTTGGTATCCTTTAATCACTGGAGCTTTAATTAAGGGTACTTTAAAGTTGGTTTGGCCATATCCATCAGTTTCAATGAGGTGACATTGTTTTCCTGATTATTTCAGAAACATCCAGGTAATGCGGGGCATAGTGGCTCACGCCTGTAATCCTAACACTCTGGGAGGCTAACGCGGGAGGCTCATTTCAATTCAGGAGTTCAACACCAGCCTGAGCAAGAGTGAGACCCCATCTCTATTAAAAACTAAAAAACTCGCTGGGCATTGTGTTTGTAGTCCCAGCTACTTGGGAGGCTGTGGCCGGAGGATTGCACAAGCCCAAGAATTTGAGGTTGCTGTGAGTTAGGCTGACCTCTGGTACTGTTAGACTCTTGTCTCAAAATGAAAAGAAACATCTGGCATACAAGTTCAGGACAGTCAGTTGATTAAGTGTAGTGAATACAAAATAAAAGAGTTTTGTTCAAGGAAAATAACTTTAAATGCTTCTTATGTATACATAGTAGACATTAAGCCTTATTTCCTTGTTAAGATTCTTTGTACATTTTTAAAAAATATTAACAAAACAGGTTTTCCTGTAAGAAATCTACTACCTTTTAGTCTGAGCAATAGTTTGTTTGCATTTTATAGACATAAAGGCTGTTATTGATGATATCTTTAAAACATTTTTTTGCTCACCGCTATGCCCCACCCTCCTCAGGTAATACATTTTACTTGTGAAAGTTCAGTGTGATGGTTTTTCTTTTTAATAATTAAGATATCCAAAAATACTGGCTGAAAATCTGTTCTTATTGCCTACAGAAACTTCTAACATCTTGCACCTATTTATTTCTAATATAAAATTGGACCAAATGGGCACCATTGCAGTAAAAATAATTTACTGCGCTGATGGCAAGCATTGATTTTTTTTTTTTTTTTTTTTGAGACAGAATCTCACTTTATCGCCACAGAAACATCCAGGTAATGCTGGCTCATGCCTGTAATCCTAACACTCTGGGAGGCTAATGCAGGAGGATCATTTGAGTTCAGGAGTTCAACACCAGCCTGAGCAAGAGTGATACCCCATCTCTACTAAAAACTGAAAAACTCGCGGGACATTGTATTTATAGTCCCAGCTACTTGGGAGGCTGTGGCTGGAGGATTGCACAAGTGAATCCAATGTTAAAATGTGAATACAAAATAAAAGAGTTTTGTTCAAGAAAAATATTTTATTATATAATATATTGTATTATATATTTATTTCCTTGAATAAAACTCTTTTATTCTGTATTCACAGTGGCATCACAGCTCACAGTTTGGCCAGGGCTAGGTTCAAACATACCACCCTCTCAGTATATGGGGCTTGTGCCCTACCCACTGAGCCACAGGTGCTGCCCTTTTTTTTGAGACAGAGTCTCACTATGTAGCCCTTGGTAGAGTGCTGAGGCATCACAGCTCACAGCAACCTCAGACTCTTGGGCTTAAACAATTCTCTTGCCTCAGCCTCCTGAGTAACTGGGACTATAGGCACCCTCCACAACGTCCGGCTATTTTTTTGTTGCAGTTGGCTTGTTGTTTAGGTGGCCTGCACCAGGTTCAAACCCTCCAGCCTGGGTGTAGGTGGCCAGCACCCTACTCATTGAGCTATGGGCAAGTGCTGCCTCAAGCATTGCTCTTAATTTACTTGAATTTATGTCATGTTCTAGGAACAGGATGAGCGAGCTAATATTTGTGGAACACCCACCATGCAGATAATACTTAATCTTTACAATAACCCTGTAAATTTGCTGAACATTATGTGTTTTCCAATTTGTAGATGAAGAAAATGGAGGTTTGGAGAGATTAGATGACTTGTCTAGACAGTGATTTGAAACTTGGATTTCAGTGTTTCTTCTTCTGTCTTCTGACTCAAGTTTGCATACAATGTTAATTTAGAGGGAAAGTGCTTAAAATCATGACACATTGATTTTTAATTACTATACTCATGAGTGGGCATATTTTCTCTTACAAAAATAATTGTTAGCAAATAGAATTGAGTTGTTCAAGGAAGCATTATTTAAAAAAAAAGAATCGGTAATTGATGTTTAGACAGTTACAGTTTTAACTGTTTGGAGATTCACACCTTACCTCTAAATCTAAATCAATAGAACAATATTGAATAAGATAAATTTAGAAGTTGAAACACTCTGCCCACTATCCAGAAACAACCCTCAGAAAACAATGACACAACAAAAAGTTTTGGCAACTTTATTTAAGCTAACAAACGAATTTTCACTCTGCAAAGTTATAAATTAATTTTAATAGGCTGATCCAGATGGTCCATTTGGAAAATGGATAGGCTGATCTGTTGAAAATTAAACTAAATTTATCTCTCTCATACTTCAAACTGAAGTAAGAGAGAGAATCGTGCCTATTAAGTCCAGCATATACAGATGGACCAGCAGGTCACACATGGGACTAATCTGATTCATTTTAAAAATAAATGCATACATTATTGAATCATTTTCTACTTGCAAGATCTGTTGTGTGCAGTATTTGAAAGAGATTTAATGTTGTTTTCATTGCTGTTTTAGCAGGTTCTCTTTGCATTGTCCACTAAACTTTTTTTTTTTCTCCTTTTCCTCTTAGTGCTCCAAAATGATTTCTCTAATATCTGTCATTCAGCACTGAGATCTAAGCTCTGAAGATTAATTAGGTCAGGAGGCTTTTCCCCCCTCCCTTTTTTGTAAAGGGTTTTATCTTCATTCTCTTTGTGAAGAGCATGAACTCAATGTTCTTGGAAAGAGAAATGGCCTTTAGAAACAGGGAAGTAGGAGATCCTCCTGGGGCCCTTAGAGTCTTTTAGCTTCTGGGTGTTTTAACAGTCCCATGAATGCAGATTTGTAAATTTATTGCAGTGCCATCTGGTTTTTTGCTCAAACCAGATTACTGTTGGCTTGTGTCTGTCTATTGTGGTGGTCACTCCCTGGGAGCTTGCCCTCTCAATCTTAGGAAAGAGTGATGAATAGCAGGGGTCAATAGAATAGGATCACAGGGCAGCTGTCCAGGACTGCCCTGAACTTGATTACCCCACTGCTGCTTTTTTTTTAAGGTAGAACATAATATATAAGCTGTTTAGACACCCTCTTTTATCTATTACTTATGCCAATTATGAAGTGCCATTTGCTGTGCTGTTCTGTTTGTGTTTTTCCTATAGTCACGTTTTATAGACAATAAGGTGTCAAAGCCACCTTATACCTAGTATTGATATAAGCAGGATTTATATCATATCACTTGCAACCTTAGATTCTTTTGCAGATATTTCTAATGGTATTTCAGTAACTCTTTTATCCTTGATTATGAAAAGTTCAAGGCCAGGCGCAGTGGCTCACGTCTGTAATCCTTGCACTCTAGGAGGCCAAGACAGTGGATTGCCTAAAGCTCATGAGATCAGCCTGAGCCAGAGTGAGACCTTGTCTCTAAAAGTAGCCGGGCATTGTGTTGGGCGCCTGTCATTTCAGCCACTTGGAAGGCTGAGGCAAAAGGATTGCTTGAGCCCAAGAGTTTGAGATTGCTGTGAACTGTGGTGCCATGGACTGTACCAAGGGCAACAAAGTGAGACTCTGTCTCAAACAAAAAAGAGAGAAGTTCAGTTATGTTCTTTGAATTTAGTGTTGATTTAAAGTAACTGTATTGTTCACATGTATTAGTTTAAACTAGAGTTTTACCATTGTTAATAGACACAACTGCTACATATTAATTTGGAGAACTGTAAATATTAGAAGAACTAAAGAGTTATCACTGCAATTTTTACAGATTGAAAGAATAATAGGGGAATATTATAAACAACTTTGTGCCAAAAATTTGACATCTTAGATGATATGGATGGACACATTCTTAAAAAAATACAAATTATCAAACTAACATGAGGTGAAAAACATCATTTAAATAGCTCTATGTCTATTCAAGAAATTTAATTAATTATTAGAAGGCCCAAATGGTTTCATTGGTGAATTCAATACAAATTTAAGAAAGAAAGAATACCAATTTTATACAAACACTTTCAGAAAATAGAGAAACAAAGAATCCTTCTTGGCTTGTATTATAAGACCACCACAGCATTAATTCCGAAACTTGGTGAAGACATCATCGGTAAAAGAACTATTGAAGGAGAAAGTTGAAAGACAACTACTCCCTGTGTCACCAAGTCCTTGTGTATACCTTCTTTTCCATTTCGTCCCTAACATCTGAAGGTGGGGGAGTTGTAGTGCAAAGCAAGGCAGTGTATCCTTGTAAGGAAAGTTTATTGTCTTAGTTGTAGCATAATCTTCTCATCTCTTATGTATGAAGTCTTATTTAAAGAATGTACAAAGTAGCTACAATTTTCTTTTTACTTTTACTTCTTAAATGCAAAGCCAAAGAAACCATAACCATTGTTTTCTTAGTTTTTATTAATATCTACAATCAAGGGCAAAGGAATGAGAGGATATATGAAAGTACTCATTACTTTTTGAAAAGTGTAGCATTACAACATGCAACTTTTCTTTGCTTCACATTGGTGCTAATAGGATCTGTCAGCCCTGCCTTTCTCTGTAATTGAGTAAATTGTGACTGCTGTCTAATCCTTCTCCCATCCCCCATTTCCTTTGTGTATGTGTCCACTTAACCATCCTGAGAACATGGGCAGTGATAAATAAAGCATTGAGTAGAGCTCTCTCAACTCTTTGAAAGCAGCATGATGCCAGCCCTCTAGTTATATTTCTTTAAGTATTTACGTTTTTCTGTATTCTCTCTCTTGTGTAGCTGGAACCCTGGGGATGCAAAGCCATGAGAGAGGCCAAGAAGCTAACAAAGTAGCTGTCTCCCTTGTTAGCTTGTTCCTTTATTCTTTAAAAACAAGATAAAAACCATCTGGCTCAGGGCATTACATTTTCCTCCCCCATGCACCTCTATAGATGGAGACTTCACCTGCAGTGAGGGTTTA